AAGACAAGCCCTCACATGGAATCCTGAAGGCCAAAGGAAAAGAGGAAGACCAAAGAACACATTACGCCGGGAAATGGAAATAGACATGAGAAAAATGAAAAAGAATTGGATGGAACTAGAAAAGAAGGCCCATGACAGAGTGGGTTGGAGAATGCTGGTCGGCGGCCTATGCTCCATTAGGAGTAACAGGCGTAAGTAAGTAAGTAAGTAATCATTGAATAGTTGATCCTAACTAATTTGGGTGTTAACAAGAAGTCAGTTTTTATAAGGATCTTTAGTTGTTTGTTAATTGATAAAGTAAATATTTATTGTTTATCACTGTCAAACAACATTGATTTGATCAATAAAATTTACCAGTTATTGACATAGTTTCTTGAGATAAAGTTAATAGGGAATAAATATTAATTAGATTAAATATTAGAAGAGAAGTAGTTATTTGTGTATTGTGAATTCAATTTACTTACCTTTATTATCACCATTCAATTATCTATAATATCTGGGACTGATTAAGATGAACAGATTCAGCTTAAGGTTATCTGGAGCAAAAGAAGTTAATAAGTTAATCTTCAATTGAGAGTTTTCGGTTGTTTGATGTCAAAATTAATACACCTAAAGATATAGAGTAAATGAAAATGTTGAGTCACTAGGGTCAGTAACTCTATTGAGTTATTTTATATATAGGCTTTGGTATGCAATTCAAATTGCAACTTATCCATCCTATAAACTGTTATCGTATTTAAAAACTATGGTGGTTGTGTATTTATTCACTTGCTTTTACCATGTTTACTTATTATGTACTCACCTCACCTACTTCATGTGACTGGTTTACCAACATTCAAACGTGCATCAATATAAACGACAATATGTAGTCAGTATCAATGCTAAGGTTAAAATTGATAGTTTTAAATAAATTGAGCATTCATTAGAAAGTTAATAATAAATATCTTAATGTTAATTTATTTCAGTTATTTATTTGCTTTAAAGTTATGAAACGTCAAAAATATAATTTTGTCCTTATTGAGATATTACAAAAATATATTTACTATAACACATAGTGTTGATTTAGGGTTTTTCTCCTAACTCTTTATCAGATCATTTGAACTGTATTAGTCGTAGTACATTGAACTTTTGTCTTTAATAATGACACTACCTTAAACCTTGGAATATTTAAGGTTTACAAAGGCTTTATGATCGGATTAATTTATTTCATTGCTCAAATCTTGTGTCTTCTACTGTAGTTAGTATTTACTATGTCTATAATTATTAAAACAGTAACCTGAATTGCACAATATGTCTTAAGGTATTTAAAAAAAGATTTCTTTGTATTTGATTAGTTACATATCCAAGTACAAAAAAATCAAATATGTCCCTTATTTATTTTTCACATGTATTCACGTAAACAATAACTTGTGGTCACGAATTTATTAAATTCATTGTACACATCTATATGTATATATTTTTAATTGTAAAACTAATCTTAGTGGTTCATAACATTAAACCTTGTTTATGAAGAGTATAATGAAGGCCTTACTACATATTGAAAATGAAAAAGACAGGCATCACCAACACAGAGCCTGATACAAATGTGCGTTGGCACAAGTTGCCATCCTACACCAGTACGACGAAAGAAAAATGGTCATATTAATAGTAAAAGCGATGAAAACAACTTAGTAACAATTAAAATCAGAAAGTTTGAAGATCAGTTCGGAAGAACAAAACAAAAGGATTTTTTGGAGAAATGCTGAAATTCAAGATCAAGAGGAAGATAAAAAGTGAATCCATCTGTGTCATTATGAACAATTCCGAACTACCTTACACACAGTCTCCAACCACTGATTGTTGTTATCACGTTGATCCCAACCAGGTAGTCTGTATCTACCGAAATGGCTCAGGTCAGTAGTTAATCACGTTACGGACAAATTTTACATTTCGGCCTGGCTGTTTTTAGCTTTCTTCCAACCTAATTTTTCATCAGCGACCATCGCTTTTCGATGTAGGCATTGGTCATGTGTACGTATGACATGTCCTCATGACCTCGGTCGACAAAGCTTCGCAACCTCATTAGCTGATCTGCCACCTTTGTATAATACCCTATGAAAAACCTTTGCATTTTTCACTCGACCGTACCTCAAAACATAATTAATGTTTCAAGGATATGTATAATCCAAAACCTTCATCCCACATATGTCTTCTATCTTCACATTTCATGTTTTACGTTCATAAAGTATAACAGAGTGGATTGCTGTGCAGTATTTACACACTTTGGTTGATGGATTGATATCTTGACTATAGTTAACAATGCTTCCTGAATCCATGTCGAGGTTTCATAGTAAACCAATTACTCAGGACTGATGAGACTTTCAAGATAAGTGCACTGGTCATTATACTCAACTAATCCACTATTTTCCACTGCTTTAGAAGTTGACAGGAACCAATTACGAAGCAACAATTTACATTTAGAGAGGGAAATTAAATAAAAAAGGGACAGCCGGCAACCTTGATGAACATCACCTAATGCTGACAATTCTGATTGCAATCAGATATAAGGTCTGATTAGAAGAATAATCCTTAAGCAAATAACCCTCACAAAATCTTTGTACTTGTTTCAAGTGCCGTTCTATCAAAGCTATCGCTATCAACTGTAAGAAAGCTAATCAAATCGTTAGTATTTTTACGTACCAAATATCATTATATTTCAATATGTTTTGAATTGAGTCATTTATATTTGCTAAACAGTTCAACTACATACAAACGGAATAAATCAAGGTATCTCTATTCATTTGAATTATCTTTTTCACAAATGAGTAACATATGAAGCATCAGTATGTGTTCCAGTTTATTGAGTCGCTTTAGTGATTTTAATTTCGATATATTCAGTTGAGATGAAACAGTCCAACAGCATATCTCATCAAATGTTTTCTGGAGATGTAATATTTATTAACTGAAGTAAACATGAAAATTTCTCAACATTTTTAACACGATGTCTCATGTAATAAAAAGGTGTGAATAATAAATTAGTGGACTTTTCTAAAGAATATTTTGTTGGTATTTAAAAGTTTTCTTTCATTAGCAAGCTTAGTGTTCAGATTAGCAGACAGTTCTCATTTCCAGAACGGTTGATCACTTATTTTTTATTCTGAAAGTAAGTGAATATCAATTAGAAAACTTAGATGAAATATTTATTAGTTCGGTCTACTGTTAAATTAAGGCTAAACATGTATCAGAAATACGATTTGCCTCCCGATGATTCCAAACTATGTCCACGTTTGGACTTATCCGAGTACATTGTTTTTTAATTATGTAAATAACTATAATAGTTTGTTTTCTTTATCAACAGTATAGGCTTCGTGTTCCGGATTTCATCGGAATAACCATAGTTGATTCACAAGCACTGAATACACTACAATTCTTTGCTGTTTAAAATAATTCGACTCACTTTAAATTGGTAATCACCTAATCACACCATGCTTGGATCAAAAAAGAATAAAACTATAAACTTGTGCATCAGACACGACGAAAACTTTTATACATATTTTAGTGCAACAAAACATGAATGTAATGTCAGAAATGAGCAACATTAATCTTTGTTGATAAAATAAGACAAAAAAATTTAGAGAAGCTTGAGATTAGGTTTCCGTTTACAAGTTTATTACAAACTAGGTAAGTATTATGGAACCACTTATGATATGATCATTTCCTAGAAGTTTCATTTCTTAGAAAGATATGTATACGGATGAAGTATAACCAAATGGATACTAACTGCTACTAAGCAATAACACATCATTCTTTACTTTATGTAAGTAATTCATTGGTTGTAGTCTCCTGTGAAGAATAAAATGTTCTAGTAAACCCAATAGTATCTTCTTCAAATATTTTTATTGGACATCTTACAACTGTCTTTTTCCAGCATAAAAGTCAGTTGTCAGTCAGAGGCCATATACTTTTACCTACTGTACAAGAATAAATTGGTCCATAGCAATGTTATTTAACAATGAATTCGACATTAACTTCGTAAAGCTCAAACAATTATCAATAAATGCGGTATACTGTTCAATAATGAGAAAGAATGTTAACTAGTAATCAGTCACTATCATCTTGAAGAAAATCCTCTAAGTTTTATTTTCTAGGTCTATCATAATGGCAGGAAAACGGAAAGTTACATGTTGCAGTTATTACATCCTAAAAAAATTATTTTTCACGGATGATTTCATAACACATTTTTGTTCCCCAATCGACAGACATTCGTCCATAAAGGATACAGAACAATATGATTACCTTCTGGTAATCAGTCTTTGGTTGCGTACGTAAGCACATGGTGAGTTATGCTAATAACAGTTCAAACAGAAAGACAGCGTAGTTATATCATAATGAGGACAACATACCAAGGTAATAACATACATAGTGGAGATTACTCAATGAAGCTATTAACAAAGGCATCTAATCAAAACATAAACAAACTATCAATACATTAGTCGTGAACAAATCAGAATTCATTTGTATGACAGAAATAAGTGAATAATCACTTACATTTTATTGGCTGTTAAACTTATTTCCCTACTTAAAATTGACCAATCAAAAATGGAACTTAGCCTTGTAAGCTGACCTTCAAGGCCATTTTGATACGAGTTAGACGGACAGTAACAATCGAATGGCGTAAACATATGATACTTTATTATTCACAATTCCCATTTATTTGTAATTATAAAACGGTGCCAATAAAAACGATAGTTTTAGCATAAGTAAGCATCTATTCTCTTTGGATCTCTAGCAATATTACTGTAATTTCAGATCAAATGTGACATTAAAGCGACTAACTTTTATCAGATGGTTTTCTGTTTACTTTAAAATATCGAAGTTTTGTAAAATTTCCAATGATGAGAATACACATTTATAAAAATAGCATATTATCAGGTTGAATGAGAAAAGGTTGGCAACAGGTTGTCTGTTAGTCCATACCTTTAAAATACTGATACTATCTATCAGAAATTCTCACATGGTAAATGAATTCAAATTCTACGTTTCCTGGGTCTAGTTGTAAAGAAGTACTGAAATCATTCTGCCGATGGACCAGTGTACGTGGATTACAACATTTATTACGCTCAGAACACCCATTACTTCGAACAATTTGGGCTATATTCGTAGCTCTAATGTGTTTAGCTAATATTGGTTTAGTTACTTTGCTCTTGATACATTACTATCAATTTAATACAATTGAAAATATACGTACTCTACGCGGAATTCACGTAGCCTTTCCACATATCACTTTGTGCAATGTTGATCCAGTCAATTCATATCGTGTACATTGTCTACAAAATCCTAATTCAAAATATTGTAATATCAACCCGAAATATTCAAATATTTTAACTAAATATCAAGAAGCCAATCGATACTTTAAGACATACAAAGGTTCAACTATCTGGCATAAATTAGAAGATCCAAGTATGGTGGCAATATTTTATCAATTAATAGGTATGGAAGCAGCCATACAAATTGGTCATCAAATTGATGATTTTATTATACCAATTTTTTGTGAAGTGACCACAAGGGAAAAAGGTGGAATATTGATGAAACGAAAATGTGAAGAAGCTGGTATTCAAGGTTTGCATTTAATTACCTATAAATACTTCAACTGTTATACCTTATCAATGGAAGATATTCACATAAGTCACAATGCTGTTCGACTGTCAATGATATTATATTTGGATGAAGAAGAAGATTTAAATTGTCGACCCTATTGTACACATGAATTTACAGAATGGGCTGGGAGTAAAATTGTTGTTCATTCACCCAGTTCATATCCTGACATTGAAGCATCTGCCTTGAATTTATTACCAGGAGCCTCGAACCAAATTCTTATCGATGGTATGCATCGCATCGAAAAAAAGAATATGGTATCGAAACCATGTGAAAATAATGAACGAAATTTTTCCATTGTCTATTTTGATCATGCCCAACAAGTATTTAATCAACGAACTATGGGTTATACGGATACATTATGTATACAGTTGTTAATACAAAGTGCAACAATGGAAGAATGTCACTGTATTGATTTTCTGATGCCTATACCTGGTACACGAATGGATCTAGTTAATCAGTTACCATTCTGTGGTAATTTATCTCGCTCCACTGTCAATGAAAGTCTTGATTGTAGTCAACAGGTGAGACAAAAGAATTCAAAGTATTTCCATCTTCTATGCCCGATCCCATGTGTACAAATGCAATATAATTATGAATTGACTCAATTAAGATGGCCACAAAAGCCACGTATATTAAATTATTATGCTCAGTTGAAAGATCGTTTTGATTATAACCGAAAATTTGATATTTATGAAAAGATTGAAGAAATCTCTATGATTAATGCAACACAAGCTTTAACAATGCTTCAAGACACGGATATATTTGAAAAAAATTTTCTACATGTTGATGTTAATCGTCCAAATTTTGATACATTAATGTCTTATAGAGAAAATGAAGAATACACTTTACCAACATTATTAAGTCAAATTGGTGGAATTTGTAGTATATTTTTAAGTTTCACTTGTGTTACAGTATTAGAATTAATTGAATTATTATGTAGATTAATTATTATTGTATGTCCAAGATTTTTAACTATTTCTAAAAATACAATACATTATATAAATAGGAAAACTTTAAAATTACATCATCCTACAACTATTCATAGTACTAATAACAATAATAACCCTATATTCGTTGAAACAACAAGTAACTTATCAACATTTTTACATAAAAAACATCAAAAACATTGTGATAATTGTTGTGATAATGAAATGAATTATTTAAAAGAAATCTTACTTACTACTAAAACAAATTATAGTAGCAATAGTAATATCAATAATAATAACATTAAACTTAGAGGACAATCTTATGTTGGTTTAACTAATTATGAAATAAAAAAATATATCACTGATAATTTTATACAAATACATGAACCCGATGATAATTATAATTTATATAAATCTAAAATACAATTTTTTAATTCAAATTATAAAAATACAAATCAGACAATCTATAATTTAGATCATTCATTACATAATCCATCAAATATTTTAAATCAAAATAATCAATCAATAAATTATAAAAAAAATTTATTTAATGATTTAAATAGTTATAAATCAATAACTAATCGAAATTCAATAATTTTGCCAACAACAGCAACAACAACAAAAAATATAATTAAATCGAAATCATTTCCTGATTTATTTTTATTACATAATAAGTTCAATAATTAATATTGAATAAAAGTGATGATAATGATTGATGAATTTATTGATTTTCCATTTTTATTTACTTATAAAAAGATGATAATAATGATATTATTTCTAATTTTTATTTATACATAATGATAAATGTTTCGATAAAGAATTGGATTTTATAAATTATACTTGTAAAATGTATTAATTACATTATTACTTTTGATATAATTATTAAAATAGCTCAAATATATGATATAATAACTTGTATATGAATAATATTTTATGGCAGTTATTTATGATATTATAAATGAATAATAATTTATAATTAATCACCATGTAAACTTAAATGAAACATAAAAAGATGAACACTATGAAACTATCTCAGGTTTATTTTATCATTTAAAATTCCGTTTAATTTTAAAATGGTTCTTGGATTGTTTACCATTAGATTCATTGAAATAACTCTTTAAATCAATGCTTACAGATAAAAGAATTTGTTTAATTGATTTCGTTGAGTAATTGTATAAAATATTTCATTGTCAATAATTATTTACATTAATTGTTTATGATAACTAAAATAAAAATAATGAGAATGAATTAACTAAATCATTATTGTAGTGACCCAATACATGTTGATCATAAAATAAATTACTATTCTTTTTTTGTATAAAACAGTTAACATCCAATTAAATTTTCAGATCATTCACCTTTCTAGTAAGTTTTATTCTTTTCTTTTCAATTATTGCAACATGTAATAAGATTTTTTTGAATAGAAATTGGAATACGAATCAGTCATGTATTAATATCTTATACTTTCTATTATTTTCTAATGAAATGGTTGCTGGTGTGGCATAGTGTAATTATACAACTGTTTTTTTCTTCATTTTTACGTTGGTTTCAATGACATTCTAAAGTGGATGATAGTTCTTACATGTTTTAAATTAGTAAGGATAGATAAATTATTAAGTCATTATTATACTATTAAAACAACTAGGATCAATAATAATAATCTATAAATGAAATATAGATCACAGTACTAATTTTCAGTTTTTAAAACATGAACTCTATAGTTTTCTTATCTAACCTTTGAAAGACAATTGTATTGGAATCCATGCAAATTATGAATGACGGATGGAGAAATAATTGTAATAGCTAGACAAGTTGAAGATATTCGTGACTGAAAGTGAGTAATAGATAGAGACCGTTAGAAACATTTATTAACTATATACTTTTGATGATGATAATAATAATAATTTAAATGCATGTTAGACAAAATGTGTCGAAAAAAATGTTGTCGTCAATGTCCAAGACGTTTTATGACATATAAAGTATTACATAGAAATGCAGAACATGAGAAAATCTACCGTTATTTCTCGTACACATCGTTATCCCATGTAAAATCAGTGCATATTATTTATTATTTTGGACAGATGAAATTCGTCATTATAGTTTCAATAAACTACAGAAATATTTTGTTTAAATTTAAAGAAAAGCACAAATAAATCTTTTATTTCATCGACCCATCACACTCAAACAACGATCAAAATGATAATCTACATTAGTTTTTCACAAAGACGTAAATATTGATCTATTCGTAATTAACAAATGAATGAAACACAAAATTCTATTGAAAATCAAGTTTACTATTGAAATGAGGTCTATACAGTTAGTTTCAAATCAAAGTTTAAATATAATCATCAAATACGATTTCTATCAATATCTGATCAAACAACAGTTTAGAATGTTTACTGTCTCATAAGCAATCAGTAACCGGATATTAGTGAGAAAAAGTAAATATAAGTCATTCGAAATCTCATAAAATTTATTTCATTTCACTTATCTTCGTTACATAAAATATTATAATTAGACAAAGGACTGACACATCCTAATAACTAGACTGCTAATTATCAATCGAACAACATGTAGGTAATAAAAGTTAGAAATTGTAGTCGAAAAGATTATTTGAAGACACTAACTATTTATAGGGATTTAATGGATGTGAAATTTTCAAAAGATTAACTATTAGTGCATAATAATTAGGTAACTTGAGTTGTACAGACCCATTAACATGTGATTGCAGGAAACAATTAAATTTAGAATGATTTAAAGCCAGGAAGTTGGGTTACAAGGAAGTTGTGAAATTGTTATGCCTATATAATTACGTACTTTTATAAAATGTATAGAGTTAAAAAGTACTTTATAACACCAGAAAAAATAGCCTGATTTCAGTTTGCTTACTTTATAATCCCTAGATTGACCACGTTTGATGATAATGATGATATTTAGTTCCCCATTTAATCTAGTATTCCATAATGCAGTCAACCAAATTGTGTCAAAGATTAAGAAAAATTAATATATGAAATGTGTTTGGATAATAGATATCATGCATACAATGCAAATTATAGAGGTTTTTCTAGTCCACTCAATCTCATAACTTATAAATCATCTTATGTATAAAAATAGACACGTATAAAATATAAGTAAATAGACATATACAGAAAACGCACAAAGTAATTTAATAGGATTAAAATGACGGGATAGGATTCATGTCCGTGAATTTGAAGCATATTTACTTCTCAGTATTCAATGTATGCGTAATATATGACATTTCTTCATTCATTTAATGAGGGAGTACTGCATACAAAAGTATAATTTCCACTGTTAATTTCATTTCATGCTCTTACTTTGACTTTATCTGCATTTCTGATTCAGGGATTTGGGATACGCTACAGTAGCGTATTCACAGGACACAAATATAGACAGCTTTAGAATATTAAAATGCAGTCCTTTATGAAAATCCCACTCTTGCATACACTATTAATAAAATAAATAAACGACAATGTACTCAAAAATGACAGATATCGCACTTTCGTTGAATACTGAATACAGGGAGGTTATCTTCACACTAACCATTCTAGGTGAATAACTTGTGGTACTAAAATCTTACGAATGAACCACTGAAATAATGTCGGAAGACAAAGATGTCACGATTAACAATGATAAAAGGTATGCAGAATCATGAGCTTAATCCAATCTCAATATATTAACAACTGACTATTTGGAATTGATTAGTGTTTGATAACGTTAAAGAATAGTTTATTAACATATAGATTATACTCGGATGATATATGAATTGCAGTACAATGGTATCAGTATTATATTTCACTTTATCAGCACTCTGTAACAAATCAAATATTGAAACAAATGAATGAATAAAAACTAGTTGTCAATTCTTAGAGAATTAGACAACACAAATATTAATTATTGATTATCTTCAAGAGTGAAATGTAGCACTAAATTGTTGTTGTGCTATCTTAAGAAGTGAATAACGTCTAAAAGTGTAAAACCTTCAGTTTAGGGATTAAACGACTCTGTGCTTGTTATGAGACATGAAGGCTCTATGTATGTGATTCTGATAAGTCTCAGATGCTTAGTTCATTGATTTTTGAACTGATATGAACTTGTGATAAATCCTATCTTTGAAATCTCAGCTTAGTAAAGTTAGTACATAAAACGATAAATAATCAGCAATCACAATGAAAATAAAGTAACATTGACTGATATTTAAATCTATTTTTTGAATTCACTAATCAACATAATGCATTCAAAACATTTCATTTAAAGGAAATATTCCCATACAGAAAACAATTTTCAGGTCTTCATCTTAATTTATGCATAATTGGCCAACATTGTTTTCTTTTTATTTGAATTATAACATACTATTTGTTTTCGGTATACTGACTTACAAATTTACATATGTGTATATATACGTAAAATTTACGAATATTCTAATCATTTACTGAATTTAAGGAAGATTAATTGAATTTAATGAAAAAATAAAGACTACCATAAGTTAAGCCATTTTAATTTAGTTAAAACAATTGCTTTATATTATATTAAATTTATATGAACATGTTGGTGACTTATTAAGAATAAAAACATTATGAACCCAAGAGAATTCATTCTCAGATAACATTTATAAAATACATAGAAAGACTAATAAGTATTACAGGAAAAGTTTATTTAAGGAACATATACATGGTTTTACTACATCGTGTCCAATTCACTTTGTTTATGAAAGCTTATTTTAGTATATGTGATGTTAAGTAATCTGCTTTTCAAGGGAATGATCTATCTGTATATGTATTTCCCTAATGATAGTGTAGATATCACTCCGATCTTTATCAAAAAAAAAGGTTAACGTTAACAGTAACAGTGAAATACTTAGCCATATTTTATCCCACTAGATTTTGTTTTGGTAGATCAAAATACAATTAAGAACTATGGATTGACTATATAGTCACTTCAGTCTCCTTTTTTGTGGTTCATCCACATTACAACAGTTTTATTATTTTTTCGTAAGAAACAGAAAATCCAAATTATCGGACATTTACTTGATCTATGTGTAAAGTCAAGTTGATTGGTTTAAATAACTTCATGTAATTAGCCATTTAGAACCTTGATGACTCGTCTAGTTTAAACTTTATATCACAATTATAAAACCTATGTTTTAAGCTAAATATAGTCAATAAACAGTAAATTACTGGTAATTTTCAAGGTTCCAAAAAATCAACGTATTTGAATATTATTTATACAAAGAACCGAGAATGTCCAATAGTTTGTTTTCTTCCAGAAAACGTATTAAGCTCATACGCTTTATATCTTGTGTGCTCGATAAATCTACATAATTGGTTAAAATTCTAAAAACTATTAATTTTAAGACGTATAACAAGGCTGCATACATCTTAGCGAATAGAATCCAGTTCAGTCAACTTTACATGAATTATCAAGGGCATGGACCTGCTTCTATTTACCTCATTGATCAGCATTTCTAATATAACTGATAAATATATTTGAAAGTTATGTTTATTAACTGGTAAATATGAAAGTTCGTTTAGTGGATAGGAAACAGCCAAAATAGCAAAAGATTTTAATGAAACCCTAGTAGTGTCATACAGTCCATGAAATGTTGCGTTCGGACATTTACGACTGATTCAGAGCATTCATGTAGTTAGAAAAGTCGTTACTTACACGCA